TATTTGGCTTATACACTCACCGAGATAAGGTTGAGGAATATAATGTGAGATTCAGGAACTCCTTTCTGTATGAGTAGTTCAATGGCCTGATTAGCAGAGTTACCTTCCAAAAAAAAAAAGCAACAATTATGAAGATATGAATTTTTTTGTAGAAACAAAAATCCATCAAAAAGGACAGAGTGTGCAATGTAAAGAGACCAAGTACCTGTGGCTAAGACAGGGTCTAGAAGCAGAACATGGCGTTCAGATATGTCGTGGGGAAGTTTCTCATATATAAGCTGATTCACATAAGAAGAGAAACTTTAATTTTCTTGTTAATAAAAAGAGATTATACTTGAAATTTTAAAAAGGAGCAAAAAAATTATTAGCAGACCTGTTTTCCATTGTCGCCATCACGGTGGATGAGAATCTTCCCTATTTTAATTCCTTTGCAGCAAGCGCGTAATGCATTCTCCATGCTTTCACCACTAAGAAAAAATACAAAACGAAAAACTTTTAGGGCAAGATAAACTCATCGCAAACAAGTAACAGATGGTTCCAAGATGTTAAACAATTGGAGGAATAAAAATCTTATCAAACAAAACTTAACCAAATACAATACCTTTCAAGGCTCACCTTCTAATAATTGAGACACCGCAAAGTTTCTTGCAGAAATCAACGCCGGTATACACAGCTCCTGGCAAGGGAAAGATAAGAAATTTATATCAGTTGAATAAGCTAACTCTTAACTAATCTGTGTGGTATCGATATAGGGATCACTAATTGTCTCACGGGGGATGAGGCTTTCATTTTGATTTCCACTAGGCACAAAAAAAAATTCTAGATCCATATGAAGGAGACAGACATCTGATGACCAAGTTGGTGCATATTTAGACACTACCGCTTTATCTAAGAAAAGAGTAAAAAGTATTGTTAGAGCTCACACATTCTCCTCTCATACCTGTTGGAGTAACTACTTGTTTCTCAGTGAACGGCAAATGACCAAGACCATGCTCCACCACCTGATATAAAACCGACAAATAGTTACAATACAAAACCCTGAAAGCTGAGTGTAAGAGAAGACACGAGGCAGAGAAATACCAGACGGATAAGTCGATCTGAATAAAACACAAAGTCATGCTTTGATATGTCCTTCTCCCGAATAAGTGTATGCATGCCTCTTATCTGCAATCATGATCCTATAGTAAGACCATTGAGACAAGCACTTGCCGTCTAAATCAGGCATCAACGAGGGCAAGAAAGCGAGAGAAAGTACCTGAAATGTTGATTGGATTACGTAAACATTTGGGTAGATTTTGCAGAGATCATGCTGCCCAAGTTTTGTGTGAATATGTTGTGTAATCAAATCAACGGCAACATGATTATCACCTCCTCGAGGAATGATAACGTCAGCATATTTCTTTGAGGGAAGCACAAAGTCATCAAATGCCGGCTTCACAAATTTTGCATACTGTAAATGAACATAGCATCCTCAGACAACTAAAGTTAAGCACATGGGGAGATCAGGAGAAAATAAATGTTTTGCAGAGTAGTAGAAATACAACAGTAGAAAGAAGAAGAAACCAGAGTAGAGACACAATGAGATGTTCACGAGAGCATAATTTACCATGTGTTATTAATTCCATATCTCATATTCACAGACATTATCAAGTGACTCAACTAGGATAGATGAACAAATGCTAACCAATCCTACACCATAAATTGAAAGGAAGACTAACCTGTTCGAGCACAGAATTGATATCCCTGCCCCTCTCAACTGTGTCACGCCTGATTCTGCGAGCAAGCCTCACATCAGCATCTGAAACCATTTAATAGCTTAATATGAGCTTTAGAGAGATGTGAAATAGATTTCAAACTGGCAAGTGCATAGCTTCAAAAGCATTCAGTCTATCTGTAGTGCTTAGAAAATGATATAAATGGAAAAAGTAATAAAACCCATCAAGGCAACAGCTACAGAGTAAGAGAAGGACAAATTTTATCACACTATCATTTGCAGTTGTACAGAACTAATAAGGTTAACCAAAAAGTGAAAAATGATGAGTAGCGCAAGACACACACATTTCTTTGGGGAAAAGAAATAGACATTGCGGTTGATAATTGCAGGTAAGGTTGGTCTTTACCTGTGTCAACGAAGATCTTCATATTCATCAGATTTCGAACTCTTGAGTCATGGAAAACTAGAATTCCTTCCAAAATTATAACATCAGAAGCATTGACCTGATAGAGGATCCCAAATGATAAATTAACACAATTCTCAATGACTGCAAGCAAGAAATAAAGTCATTCTTTCTAATGAAGAAACCGGAATAGGAACACATCTAAAGCCACTAATAAGAAGATTCAAATCAAACGAGCACAATAATGGTCTTGGACATAAGAGTACGCACCTGTCGGAAAGTGTCAGATCTACGTTGATGGGTCTTAAAGTCATAGATTGGAATTTGATATGGCTGCCCACTCTTGAGAGTCTCAGCACAATGCAAAAGCTGTTCGGTGTCAAACGCATCTACAGAAGAAACAAGAGCAGAAAGTGGAAGATTAACCAAAATGCTACAAGCTCAAGCACTGAGAAAACTCAAAACTCAAGGAGAACCCTTTAAGATAGTGAACCTGGATGATCAAAGTTGTACTCTTGCACACGCTGCAATTCTTCAGACGTCAAACCACGGTAAAAGGAATCCTAATCAACAAAGAAGATCAAATTAAAAGCTTTATATGATATGAATCTCAAGCCAATCAAAATACAATAGTAGACCAATAGTATCAAAACCTGATTAACTAGAACAACACGATGATCATGAAGTTGCTGGATTATCATGTCGCAGACTGTTGTCTTACCAGAGGCAGTACCACCAGAAACCCCTGTCAATAGGCAAAAAATCAAACAAAATGCAACCATAGTGAGAGGTTTTATCAACAAAGATAATGCAGTAGAAACTCCATAGATTTCAAAATCAAGAGACGAAACCCAATTATCCAACCCAGGAAGGCAAATGGAACCAAAGGGGGATAGAGAATCACCAATAACGAAGGGCTGTTTGGGAGCTTCGGGATCGGAAGAAGAAGAAGAAACGGTCGATCGGAGATGAGAAGGAGAAGAGACGGAGGAATTTGGTGGTGAAGAAGAGAGAAGGCCATCGAAGCGAAGACCGGAGAAGTGAGGCCCTGATGCCTTCTCCATCTCGTAATCTATCGAAGAAGAATTATCCGGCATTGGATTCCGATGAATCGGTGGTTGATGAATTAGGTTTTGAGATTCTCCGGCGAAGAATCAAGCGTAGGTGAAGACTGACGCAGTGACAAAACGGTTCTCTGTTCAACGCAAAGTTTCACCTTTT